TTCTTACTTGTTTTGAGTTGAGATATTCGTGTATGCATTTTAAGTTACTAAATACAAAATCTAGATATTTGAAAATTTAATAAACTAAGCTGAACCGAAAAAATTCAGATTGAAGTTCACAAAATTGTTTACGAAAATTTTCCATTTTAAAATGCATCCAAAACTCTTTTAAGAAATTGTATAAGTAATTAAAACAAATGAATGGGAGTTTAAAATTGTTCATCAAAATGTAATACTATACCATAATATTCCCATTGTCTAAAATTTTGAATATTTCTTACATGCATTTAATTTGTTGCAAACTCCCTGTTTTACCGCAAATAAATGCCGACCGACTGCATAATTTAAATTTTTACGGTAATTTTTATTGCCGTATTTACAAATATTCTCTGCTTTTTATGGTCCCGGTGTCAGTTTCTGTCAATGGCCTGACATTTGAACATTCACGCGCCAACATTAATCGCTACATATTGGAATAACTATTTTTTGTTGACTTTGCATTTGTGGCTGAAACGCAAGTGTGCCGCCAGCCTGTCGGAACTGAATGCGATTTGTTAAAAAAAAAATGCAAACACACTTTTGTTGCGCTCAGTGGCAACTGCTGGCGCTGCATGATATGCGTGTGGCGCCTACGTACAAACATGCCACACATAAAACACGTGTTTAGTTAGTGTTTATTTATGCTGCATTTTTGTACAAATTCGAATTTCTTTACCATGAAAACGACCACAAAAAAACTATTCCCAACAACGTAAACAACAACCTACACTCAGCTTAACCTTTTAAAGATCGACTACACAATTTTCCCGGAACTTTTTGCAACCCCCGTTAGCGAATGTTGTGGCAGCGCAATAAAAGCTGGGTTAAATACATTATAGAACTCCAACTCTACCAAAAATAATAATTTTTCCAGTTGTTTGCATATTCGTTTGTAAATATGTATTGTTGTTTGTATATACCTATGTGTAAGTGAGTGCCTTTGTGCGTGTTCGGTTACAAGTTGACTTAGATGGCGACTTTGCGACTCCAGTCGAGCCATAAAAAGGTAATAAAACTTTTGTTTACCTTCGTAATGAGCATGTTGAGGTGGCGAGAAGGCAAATAGGCAAACCGACGTAGAGGCCGAGTGGGTGTACGGCAATGCTCGTATACGTTTAATGGCACTCATTCCATTATGATTGCTTAAAACTCTTTCGTATGCTGAAATACATACTCGTATATATCAATGTACCGTTATACTAGCAAAAAGCACTTTTCGTTCACAAATTTCCATGTTCATGTTGTTGCATGCCACACTGGTGGTAAATTGATTTTTCATTTTAGTGAAAATTTAAGGGCACTCACTACATGCCCAACGCTTGTGGCATTCACACACACCACTTTATTATATAAAGTAAATATGTAAATAGATATTTACGGTCTTAACTTGAGCAATATTTCGAGAATATTTATGTGTATGCGTTTGTAGATTTTCTGCCAAGCCATTAAATTTGTGGCATAGCAAAATTTACGACTTTGAGATTGTCATTGTCAGAGGTGAAAATATTTACTATCTTTTAGAACTTTTTCTGCAGTCATCCGCTATGCCGTAAGGTACAAGTGCAGCAAATTTTTATTCGCTGTAAATTCAAAAGGGTTTAAAGTAAATTTTCATGTTTCAAAGCGATTGCATTGTAATACAACCCTATCACAAAAGTACTATATTTATTTTAATTTATTTCAAGTATAGGTTAGATTAAAACTTATTAAAAACAAGCAAAAATGGTTAACTTCGGCTCCACCGAAGAGGTGGGTGCTTTTTTATAGCAACTATATATATAACTAAATTTGAAAACGTAAGCTACTAACGGTTTGAGTCAGATAAGGGTTACTTAATACGGCAAAAATATATTTTATGAAGACCTTTATCTTGATTTTGATCGGTCAGTTTGAATGGCAAATATATGCTATAATGGTCCGTTCTGCACAGGTGGTTTAAAGATTGTAGCGTTGCTTTAGAAAATAACTTACGCCAAATTTTGTAAAGATATATTTTCAAATAAAAAATTTTTTCATACAAGAACTTTTCTTGCAATAAAATACCTCGTTAGTGAGAATTGTGTAAAGTAAAACTTAAAAATTTAATATTAGTAATTCTTTTTACTTTTTCTTGCAATTTTATTATCTTTGATGATTTTGATTGTTTAATTGAGTGACACAGGAACAAGAAAGCTCATCAAGTCATAGACATTACAAAATAAACTATTCGGATAGATCCAGATTTTAAGTGGTAGTAATCATGTCCCGCTGAGGGTAAAGAAGACATTATAGATGTCCGATTAAAGACAATAACATCGACAGAAGATTGGGGCCAGAAGGAACTAAAAAAATGTTAGCAACAAAATTCAGATTTATAATACGTAATGCACGGAAAGCTGCAGAAAGTACAGTCACAAAGGCAGATTAGGCACAATGGAAGAGTTCAAAGTTACTGTCTGGCTGGTTGCATCGGGTCTTAGAAAGCCATGATAGTCAAAGCTCCCGAGCTCTTATGATTGTTCCGAAAGTAACTATACCCAAAGTTCGCCCGTAATAGGGGGACACGAAAGAGAATGACTAAAACCTTGGAAAAATTCAAACAAAGGTTTTATTGGGTTGGTTGTCGTTAATCAGTTAAGGAGTAGATTGCCAACTGTATAGAGTGCATTACAGCTAAAGCTGGATGTAGCTGGTTATAGCAGAAATTATTTATACATAGTTTATTGATATACTTCACAAGGCGAAATTACTTAGTATATGCCTAATTCAAGGTAATGTGAACATTATATAACACGGAATGCTTATTCGCTTAAACGCTCTCTAATATCTGCTCGATGAGTAATTTGTCATTCAACTGTGTTAAGTTGTATACAGTAAAATAAAAAATTAGGGGGGGTCTATGCGTAAAACTAGTCGAATTTTGGTAAAGCCATCTTTTAAAAACACTCCTTTAATTTCTGATATACATATATAAGTTTCATATTATATATGTACATACGTATATGGATGTATTTGCACAAGATTTACGCGCAAATACTAAATAAAAATTTATTCCCAAGTGCTCAGCTAAAATATTAATTTGCTCAAACTTTTATTTGCATAAAAGAAATAATTTGACCGATAAAACGCTCTTTTCGAACCCAGAAAAGTTTTTCCTATGCAAAAAAGTACGTCACCTTTTTTGAATAAAAAAAAAACACAAAACCCGCTGTAAATATTTACTTTACTAATTATGAGGGATACCTTCACGAGGTGCATACACCTCGTTAAATTGCTCGGTGTGTTCATTTTTGTTTGCGTAAATTCACATGTTTGTTTGTGTAAGTGGGCTTCTTTACCGACCAACGACTAAAATTGTCTGACTAAAATGTACACACGCACACACAAATGCACATAGGCAAGTTCATAGAATAATTGATAGCCTTGGTGCTTTAAAAAGCAGCGTTGCAGCGTTGAAAGCTTGAATGGGAATGCTGCACGGAGTGTGAGAGCGTCCAAAAATGACTGAATTACTGAGTGAAGCCGATAAATATTTAGCGATTAACACCAAGTACAGAAGCACATGCGATTGTTTTTGTACGTACCCAGAATCGTTTACTTTAATATAGCTGCAAAGGAAATGTTTGTAGTCACCATTATCAATTGCAAAAACACCAAATTGCTCGGTGCGCAATTGTGTAATTGTTAGAAAAAATTTATATATATAAAATTATTAGATAATAAAAATAGAATTGAGTGGCTGCGTTGAATGATAGAAGTATTGACAGATGCTAGTATGCGAGTGTGTTGCTAGCATAACATGTTGCTTGGCCTTGAACTCACCGACATTATTCGAATCATACGCGATCGTTTACGACAATTGTTTGATTATAAAATTATTCATTAAATTTATTATCTATTAAAATTGACTAGCTGACAGCAGTGACTAAGACTGTAGAAATGTATGCCAGTTTGTAGAATATATAGATGCGGGGTAAATATATTATAATAGCTTATGTTATTTTTAGCATTTTGAAACTAGAAACTAGAAACTAAAAATATAAAAATTGTTGCCAGAAAATGTTTTATATTATTATATTAAATTATTAATAATTATATATATAAAAATATAAATAATTATTATATAGAAATGTTCTATTTAACTTCGTTTAAGGTCTACTGTCACTAAGTGGTGCAAAATTACTAATCCAGAAACCTCTCCTAAAACTAAATAATAAAAACATAACGTAAGCGTAATTTAAAATTTTTAATCGCAAAATTTTGGTTTAAAGGAAAATTTTCATTTTTTGTTCCAAGGTTGGGATTAAAAATCCAATTTGTAAGATATTTGGCATTCAAAACTGAGAATTGAAGATTTTATTTTTAATTTGAATGTGTAAGTTTGCTAGTCAGTGCTATAGAGCATTGAAGATGATGGATTTGTGTGAGATCCATTTTTAAATAGTAGAGCACGAAGTACGTAAACAACAAGTTTTTTTTAAATTCTTAATTATATGCGGAGTAGGAATAAAATTGAGATTACATTTATTTTTTAAGCCTCTGTTTTTGTTTTTCAGTTGGTATGGGATATGTTTTTTTTTACATTTTGAAACCGTATTTGGGAATTACATTTTTCTTTAATCCAGTCTTTGGGATAACAAATAAATAAAAAATTAAGTCAAATGTAAATACAATAATTTTTTATGCATTCTTTGCAAACCTATACTAAGCATTGAATTTATTATCGTCATTTTTATAAGATGTGTTTTTTGTTAGAATCACACTCCGCTTTAAAACTTACCATAGATAATAATTAGAACCAGTATATTTAAGTTGAAGGTTAAACATACCTGAAAACATAAACAAAATACGGTGTATTAGAAAAGTGTTATAAACTGTCTTAAAGGTAATTAACTAATTAAGCGAGTGGTGATTCTCATAACAATCCCAAAACAATAGAAAAAGGCAACTATTAGATATTTATTTTTGTTAACAACATCATTCGAAATGTAAATTTGTGTAAATGAAAAAAAAAACTGACTGCCGCAGTCGAGAGTCAAACCTCAAAAAGAAAAATAAATATTTACAAATACAGATTTCAATTAATGTCCGCAACATGTCCGCGCTGCCGAGAGTCGATATAGATCAGCCTAAATTCGATCAAAGCACGTATATTGGACGCTTCAAACACTTCTTCTTGCTCACCAATCCGTTAAACTTGCTCACTAGCAGCGCCGAATTAGAGCGTTCGCAACGCATCGTCAGGAACTACCGCGCCGGCAAAGACATAACGAGTGACGTAAGCACACTTGACGAACTGTGGCATGCTAAATATATATACGATTCAGCATATCATCCGGAAACAGGCGAAAAGTCACCGCTCATCGGACGCATGTCGGCGCAAATGCCCATGAACACCATTATTACGGGCTGTATGCTCTCTTTTCACAAGAGTACGAGCGCCGTTGTCTTCTGGCAGTGGTTCAATCAGACCTTCAATGCCATAGTGAATTATACCAATCGCTCGGGTTCTTCTAAGCTCACCACTGGCGATTTAGTTAAGTGTTATTGTTTAGGTACAGGTGGCGCCTTGGGCACCGCCCTGTCATTGAATCGCCTTACAGCGAATATGCCACCGCTTATTGGACGTCTGGTGCCGTTCGTGGCCATCTCGGCGGCGAATTGCATTAATGTGCCTATGATGCGTTCACACGAAATTCGCAATGGTGTGGTGCTGCTGAATGAGCAGGGGCGTGAAGTGGGCGTGTCAAAGCGTGCCGCCATCACCGGCATTGCGCTGGTCGTGCTGAGTCGCATTGCTATGGCCATACCCGGTATGACCTTCACACCGGTACTAATAGATAAGTTGGATAAGCCAGGCAAGTTACTCAATCGGCTGCCGTGGCTGAACCCACCATTACAAACGGGGATTTGTGGGTTGCTGCTGATATTTGCTACACCGATGGGTTGCGCGCTGTGGCCACAGAAAATGAATATCAAAATAGAAAAATTGGAGCATGAAGTTCAGGCAGACGTCAAAAAAAAGAATCCAGACTTAAAAGTGGTGTGGTTTAATAAAGGACTTTGAAATGAAGGTCCTGAAGAAACAGATTTGCGAATATCAAAGCAAAAAATATTCAAATACAAATGTAAATAAAAATATTATATTATATCCAAAATGCCAGGCTCCCTATCCTTAGTATGTAAGGCTTACACAAGCTTAAGTGCAATACGAAATTAACATATATTCGATTGTTCAAATCATTTAAAATATTTATTCCGATTATTGTTATTTGCCACTGTGAAGGGTTCGCCAAACTTAACTTAAAGGCGTCGATAGTAGTCTCTGTTCTAAATTTATATTATACACAAAGCCATTGTTATTTATTAGTGCAAGAAGCTAAATATATAACATTTCTAGAATTGGAAGAAACGCAAAGGAATCTTTGCGCTGAAAGACGTGTCAAAATAAGCGAAGGCAAATGCAAAGGGAGGCTCACAGTCAACTAAAAATTAATAAAAAGTAAACAAACACTCAGCCAAAAGGCAAAGCGCTGAAACACTTCTGTATTTAAAAGGAAAAACAACACCAAAAACAGCAATTACAATCGTGTCAAAACCACAAAAAGTATTCCAAAAAAGTGCCAAAAACATTGCCACCAAGCGACAAAGAGAAGACATGTGTGTTGCTAGCGCATGTGGTATCATTTGGAGCCGCCTCTAGGATGAATAATACGTAAGTTGCCGCAACTATTCGTACCGAATTTTGAGTTGGCGGTGGATTAAACGCCACCACATCGCCACTGAGTGACACTTTACGCACGCGTACATGCATGCCGCACGAGCACCATGCATGAAGTGGCAGGAATACCGCAAGCTTGAATGCAACGTGTTGTCAAGTGGCTTAAGCCGACGCCGCTACAGTGCTACCATGGCGTGTCGTCGTCGGCAGAAGTGCGAAAAATTGCAACATTTCGCATTTCGCTTGTTTTAGTGACAGTTTTTCATTGCTTGCGTGCTTGACGTGCTTCGCTTTTTTAATATGTTTTGCTTTGTATTTTTTGTGTGTCACTCTTGATCCTTTGATTAATTGCGTGTGCGCAAGAGCATTTTCTGTTTTCAGCCCTCAAAGTGGAGGCACATGTTTATAGTTGCTCAGTTTTTTTGTTTCTGTGCTTGGGTAGCTTTTCATTTTGTCACATTTCTTTGCTTTTCTCTTTCATTTACAGCGTGTTTCAATGCCTGTGACAATTTAGGAACACAGAGGGATGCACTTTTTTGTGGCGTTTTTCAACTTCAGCAGCATTTTTGCTGCATATGCCGATATGAAGCAGTGATCATATTATCCTTAAGAAGAGCAAAGGATGCTGCGGGAATAACAAACGAGGCAGAGTTCAATCGCAGATCGAAGCTAACTTATTTCCTGCCATAAATGAAACAGTAAAATCGAACCTACTCGAAGCAAGCAATGTTTTAATTAGATATAAGATAGTACGATCATATGATTAGACCGTACAGTCACACAATCGATAAATAATAAGTAGGAGTAACAAAATAGCTGTACTACTGTGTAGCTAATTGGGACTTCTATGGTCTGCCTATCTCAGAGTTAGTCTTTTTTTATAGCTGTTATTTAAATTATACTCAGTTTGGTTTATCATTTCATAATGAATACCATGGTTCGGTTTTGTTTAACATTTACTCTAGCAGATCCTCATACACGCCGTACAGAGTGCACCGAAGACGCTATTGCATATTATCTCGCGTCGTGGGCCCGTGGCGTGGCATACAAGATCGTGCCACCGCTGCACTTTTTTTGTGGGGTTCTGTGAAGTCGATTGTCTAGCTTAGTTCCAGAAGATAAAATTTGGCGCGTTATTTCTTAGATACGGCCCTAATTGCTGCAAAAATCGATCGAAAATTGGGCCTCTCTCATAATATTAAATTATATGCGTTTTATTTCATCTTGAAAACCATATGTCTAAAAAAACATCCTTTAGCAAATACATCGGTAAAGACATGAGAGCATCACCAGTAGGCACTTTTGGAATCAAATTAGAGATATGAGGTAAAGTCAGTAAGGAACTCCATAGAAGTCAACTTCTCTCCAACGAACTAATATAAAACACCGATATAAAAGAAAATGGATATGTCAGACATAAGTCAGCTGCAATCTTCTGGTTTTAACATAATACTTTTCATTAAACCATTTACCTATTGTTTTTAATATGGTTAAGGTATGTAGAGAATGGGTTCGAAACTCGTGCACATACAGTTATACCTAGTTACCTGTAATAAGTGGTGCAATGGGAAAAGAGTAAATTTTTTCTGTTTTTGGGTTAATTTAAAAGTAGAATGATATCAAAGAAGGAGAGTGACACAATCTTAATTGCGTATTGAGCAAAAATAGTTACCTTATGCGTATATATATGTATGTTCAACAGCACTTGACTTAGAAGTCGACGAATTCGAAGTTAAAGCAAAATATAAACTCTGCAGTTGGAAAATATTTGGTGTAACAACAACAACAATCACTCACCGAAGTAAGTCAAAACAGCGAATAGTAGAATTTGCGGCACAATGCCAGTTGCACAATGCAAACATAACAATTGCAAAAACAAAAACAAAAAACAAAGAAGTTTGACCGCTTGAGCCACCAATAAAGCTTAAATGCTATTTGGTGCATGTGGCGTCGCTACCGCAGACATCGACGGTCATGCAGCCAATCAACCAAATTTGGCCTGAGCAACAATTTGATGTAACAAATATGTCGCTGTTGTGCATTTTAATGTCTGCTACCACCGCTGTTGTTGCCATCGTTGCTTTTTATTTTATTGGTTGTCATGTGCGGTCTGAAACGCGTCCTCAAGTGTTTGTTTTTCGCTGTGTGCGTGTGCGTAATTCGAAGCGTTTGGCGCGCAATCGCTGCATAGTTTCGCTTTTCATAGCAACATACATACATCAACAACAACAATAGCATAAAGCGTAGTCAAAATTAAAAGATGAAAAAAGAGACAGTTGAGCGCAACTGTCATTGCTGCTATTTGGGTTGCATTGCTGCCGCTTGTGGCATTTGCGGCAACATTCGCGCAATGATTTACAATTAAAATATGTTTTTCCTTGGCAAAAGTTGTTGGCTTTTGTGGCGCTCACTCGATTTTTTTTGTTATTGCGATGCAAGTAAATATATCTTTGCATTTATTTTTATTTACTACGACTATTGGCCGGTTGCAATGTGCGATTTTATCATAGCTGGCAACCTGGTTTATTGCCACGCTGGCAGTTTTGTAATCAAACGCGGCATACGGTACGGCTAAAGTGCTGTTTGTGAATGAATGTTACATGTGAATTCTTATGGCAGCATCCCTGCAGGAAGCTAGAACTTCAGCCGGAACCTATGAACTTCAGCCGGATTCGGAGCAGTTTGCGTTGAGAAAGAAATTTTATTAAGATGTTATAGTTAGATTGAACCAATATATATAAGAAATATATTCGAAAAGTAAAATTTTATACAAACCACGTGGTTTTATACACTGGCATTGAACGAACTAATTTCGAAATATTGCATTTCTCTGCCGGGACTCATTCACACATACACGTATGCAGAATAACTTCCCCAAAGGCACCTTGCCACGCTGCAACTTGTTTGTGTACACCGCTTAATTACAAATGGCGCTAAAATGTGGCCAGCAGGTTCTACCCGCCTTGCTGCGTCGGCCACAAAGCCAACAAGCTATGAGTTGTTGTTGCTGCAACATAACAGCATGAGAATTTAATATTTATAAATATTACGTATTCATGCATTTAAGTTAATTTGTATATACATGTCTACATATATTTTGAAAGCTAGTGTTTGCATTATTACCCTGAACACATACACATACACAGGCACAAACACATTAATTTGTTTGTCTACGGCTATTTGGTCATCTGATAATGTTGCTTCTCTTGCGGCGACTGTTGCATTGTAAATAAATGTGATTTCCTTTTTTCTCTCTTTGTGTCGATTACTCACTGCAATTATTGTGATAAAAGCGCACATTGCAATGGTAATAACTGTATTTGTATTTCATTTAAATTGTAGGCAATCGCGATAATTTTAAATGACTGCGCGAGTGGAGCGAACACATTACAAGGCTGATTGGCCAGAATTGACATTTCAGATTTCCAAAGGCGCATTACCATTTCTTGTTATTGTTAATATGAATATTAAATATTTTTAAATCAAATGAGAAATATTAAAGTTTTGACTTCAGAAAAAATAACGTAGTCATGCTTAATGATTTAATTAATTAATTAATTTTATATGTATAATCACATTTCTCACTCTCGCACTGAGTCGGTTTGAAGAATGATTGAGGGTCTTTGAACGACTTTGCAACTATCTGAGAAAGCATTTAAATTGTACGTCTTAAATTAGTTTGTAATCAAAATCTTTACTTATTTATTTAATTAACATTTTCTCTTAATTACCCTGCAAAAAGTCTTGTTGGGTACTACGTAGAAACTACGTATAGAAAGTAGTAGTGTACGAATAATATATCAATGGATGAAAATACCAAAGTCATGTACAAAATACCGATAGGAGACTTAGGCCAGCCTAGGGCCTTCAAAACAGGCGTAAGCAGGATAATTTATTATGAGAGTATGGAAACGGGAATCAAAGCTTCTTCTTTTAGACTTTATGTAGCATATATTTATATATATATTATTATATATATATAGATTATCTATATACAATTTTTACACGTACTTTTGTTTTTAATTTTCCAAAAAGTAATTTTTTATACAAAAAAAGTAACGAAGAAAATCGTATATTTCTGGCAACTGAAAAATACAAAAAATTTAACTTGCTAAAGATTACTAACCCGAACGCTTTGACACTACAGTGCAACGGACAAGAGACGATTTTTTCACTCTTTTTCCCAACTGAGTAATAGTTTTAGAACCCTAAACTTTACCTAAGATCCAAACAATCTAGCTTTTTATTTATTTATTTTATTTATATATTATATTTAGAATTTAAAAAAACCACACAACGGCCATCGCTTGATAACAATATTATGACAAAAATACCGAAATTAAGGTATTAATTTTTTGTTATTATAGTATTTTCCAATAAACAAGTTAATACTTCTTTTCTGTGAACTTTATGTGTGGTTTCTAAGCGTCTTCAAAACCGTTAAAAGTGAAATATATATAAAAGGGCATTTAGTTAGGAAACTTTAAATTTAATTTTATCATAAGCAAATTTTTTGAATAAATTTTTTTTATTCATTAACAAGCTATAAATAATTTTACAAATTTTTATTTATTTTTTCTTATATTGCGTCTTATTGTCATTTAAATTAATACCATAAATACTACTAAAATCGAAACTGAAATATGTGTAGCTTAAAAGTAGCTTATGCGAGTCATGAAAAATAAATGAGAAAGGCAAAGCAATCAAATATCGACAAAGCTAAAAATGGGAAACGAGGAAGATAACCAGCGGATTTAGGCTAAACGTACTATTTATGTATACATAAGTATATATATATATATAATATATATGTTGGTATTGTAGGTAGATGCAATTGACAGCGAGATATAATATGTGTACCTTCAAGCAAACAAAGAAGCTAAGAGATATATTCAGTTTATTTAAAACAAGTGAAGACAAACAACAACACACACCACAACATAGCCGTTCGAAAAGCACCTTCCAAAAATTGTCAATGACAAGCGTCAACGTCGTCACAGCCAACAGGCTTGACACATGATGTCATAGCAATAAAAATATCATCGCTACAAGCATACCCACATACAAACATACATATATATATATATTTGCTTATATAATTTAATGGCAAAGTTAAACTTAAAAATTAAAACAAATATTTAAAAGACAAATAATACATTCAAAGTGATGACACCGAAAATTCTTGCCAGTTTCAATTTCGTTGTGTGCGAGAACTGTTTGTCTCCGCAACTAATTTGCATATAAAATTATGCTGCGAAAGCGTCAAAAAGCACATATACAGAAACACTAAGCGCTGTTGTCAACACCATTAAACTTCTCCCTTATTCACACCTTCTTTTGGTGTTTTTCAGAAATCTCGTTTCTCCACCGCACGACAAAAGCGACCACTTCACTTTCAATACGAATTTTTAAATTATTGTTATTTGTTAAGCATTTTCGCTTTTATTTTGGTGGATTTTGTATGTTTATCGATTTTGCTTACACGCACGATCCGTCGATTTCGAAAAATTTGTTTATAAACAAAAATCACGTAACAGCTAAAAAAAACGCTAAATTAACACAAAAACTTGTTTGCCTCAAACCGGCTAAATTAGCTGAAAATGCTGCTGTGACTCGCTTGACTTCCATTAATGCAAAAAATTCAGCTGTATGCAGCCGCATAATTGGCAGCGTAGCAACAATTGCACTTTAGGTATTAAACTCCATGCTCAAATACACC